GGATACTCTATTACACTATGACCTGGGCTATACAATAAAATACAATGTAATGACCCTGATAGACCACCATATACCACCCATGGATACTCTACTACACTATGACCTGGGCTATACAATAAAATACAATGTAATGACCCTGATAGACCACCATATACCACCCATGGATACTCTACTACACTATGACCTGGGCTATACAATAAAATACAATGTAATGACCCTGATAGACCACCATATACCACTATGACCTGGGCTATACAATAAAATACAATGTAATGACCCTGATAGACCACCATATACCACCCATGGATACTCTACTACACTATGACCTGGGCTATACAATAAAATACAATGCAATGACCCTGATAGACCACCATATACCACTATGACCTGGGCTATACAATAAAATACAATGTAATGACCCTGATAGACCACCATATACCACTATGACCTGGGCTATACAATAAAATACAATGTAATGACCCTGATAGACCACCATAGACCATCATATACCACCCATGGATACTCTACTACACTATGACCTGGGCTATACAATAAAATACAATGCAATGACCCTGATAGACCACCATATACCACTATGACCTGGGCTATACAATAAAATACAATGTAATGACCCTGATAGACCACCATAGACCACCATATACCACCCATGGATACTCTACTACACTATGACCTGGGCTATACAATAAAATACAATGTAATGACCCTGATAGACCATCATATACCACCCATGGATACTCTACTACATTATGACCTGGGCTATACAATAAAATACAATGTAATGACCCTGATAGACCACCATATACCACCCATGGATACTCTACTACACTATGACCTAGGCTATACAATAAAATACAATGTAATGACCCTGATAGACCACCATATACCACTATGACCTGGGCTATACAATTAAATACAATGTAATGACCCTGATAGACCATCATATACCACTATGACCTGGGCTATACAATTAAATACAATGTAATGACCCTGATAGACCATCATATACCACCCATGGATACTCTACTACACTATGACCTGGGCTATACAATAAAATACAATGTAATGACCCTGATAGACCACCATATACCACCCATGGATACTCTACTACACTATGACCTGGGCTATACAATAAAATACAATGTAATGACCCTGATAGACCATCATATACCACCCATGGATACTCTACTACACTATGACCTGGGCTATACAATAAAATACAATGTAATGACCCTGATAGACCACCATATACCACTATGACCTGGGCTATACAATAAAATACAATGTAATGACCCTGATAGACCATCATATACCACTCATGGATACTCTACTACACGATGACCTGGGCTATACAATAAAATACAATGTAATGACCCTGATAGACCATCATATACCACCCATGGATACTCTACTACACGATGACCTGGGCTATACAATAAAATACAATGTAATGACCCTGATAGACCACCATATACCACTATGACCTGGGCTATACAATAAAATACAATGTAATGACCCTGATAGACCATCATATACCACCCATGGATACTCTACTACACGATGACCTGGGCTATACAATAAAATACAATGTAATGACCCTGATAGACCACCATATACCACTATGACCTGGGCTATACAATAAAATACAATGTTATGACCCTGATAGACCACCATATACCACCCATGGATACTCTACTACACTATGACCTGGGCTATACAATAAAATACAATGTAATGACCCTGATAGACCACCATATACCACCCATGGATACTCTACTACAGTAATTCCTATTCTGCCATCATGACCATTACCATAATGCCCACAGTCATCAGGATCATTTCCATTACCATCACCTAGTGCTTTTCCTGTAAGGAATATCCCTCAAATTAGACCATTATTGCTATTCATCTAGAATTCTCAATAATTAATAGTATTAATGAGATGTTCTTTAATCAATGCATTATACCTTGCTTTCATGAAGTATTTGTAAAACAATAATCAGGGAAGATCCTCACACTGCACAAGGAAGCCACTTCAATTAACACCCATTACCCATGAGTCTTTGTGTGTTATATTCAGTCATAGGCCAATTTAGTGCCATACATCGTGAACTCATGGTGATTGGTCTAGTGGTTTTCAACATTTATAAATACTTTTATGTTCTTACTTGATGTTCATTAAGTTCTTTTTTTCGTCTGTAGGCTGGTCATGTCTGTGGTGATAACTTTGACCTCGTAGATGGTTTGCCGACAGGTTCTGTTCGAATTTCCTTTGGTTATATGTCCACTTATCAGGACATAAAAACATTTCTTGATTTCATTGTCGAATGTTTTGTTGTTGAAGCATGCCAAAATGTACCACACCAGAGTCATTATGAAAGTACCATATCTCACCACTCATCTCAAATTATTAAGCAGACTTTAGTAACTATGGCAACCATAAATAAAAAAGAAGAGTTGTCCAGAAGAGAATTTGATCATCCAGTGCCAGGCAGAAATGAAAAGTTGATGAGTTCAGCAAATGATGTCATTGAAGGAACCCAGGTTATAGATAACAAGCAGTGTAAAAGAAAACTACGAGGGATATTTTTATATCCTGTCAAATCCTGTGGTGCAATGGAGGTAAATATTCTGCTCTCACATATCACACTTTTTTTTATATTTTTTCCATGATGAACACAAATGAAAGAAAACATGTCCCAGGACCTGAAACAAATAGGTTTATTATAAATGTTTGTACTATACCTCTGTCAATGTGTGTTTATCTGCTTTTTCTCCAAAAATTTTTTTTAAGTTCTTATGGGAGTAGTATCTTTTTACATTTACATCTTGGGATACATATGCAGACTCATTTGATTCATGATTCGATTCAAGATGACAAATGGCGGCTATTTTTGTGCTAAAAATGCATTAAAATTGATTTTCAGAACCGAGATCTTGGTCATGTAGGAATAAATTTCATTGGCAACTTTTGTACCAAACTAGTCCTGATTCATGGTGTTGATGAGCTCATTCGTCCCACCATCATTATCTAATTTCAGAAAAAACTATTTCATACTGGCCCAATACAGTCAGAATTCCAAGTTTTTTTAGTCATACAGTGTTGGAAATCCAACCTCATCAACCGGTATGTGGTGAGATAAACTAGGCCATATTTAATTTAGTAGCCATAACTGCCTGGATTTCCAGAATTTTTTTTTTCCATACTCGTCTGAATTTCCAAATTCTGTTTCTCCATATACAGTTGGAATTCTGGGGTATTTTCCCCATCATACAGTGCTGGAAATCCGACCTCAACAACAGGGGGGGTGCAGATATAAACTGGAATGGCCCAATGCCTTGAAAGCATGTCACACATATGACCATGTATTTATTTCATGATCCAATTCAAGATGGCTGAATGACAGTTTGAGTTGTAAAAATCGCTATTCAAGAACTGAAAATATACATTGTTGTTTACGATAGGATTCAAAACTGGATGCCATTTTATTTTAATGGACCTTGTTCTGGGGCCATAAACTCTGACATGCCTTGACTCACTGCAATCAAATTTTACACATACAGTAGTATAAACCATATGGTACATATTTTATTGTATCATTTACTACATGCAATGACTTATATTCTTTGTTATTTGTGTTCTACTTTTTTTAAAGGTTACTAATTGGCCAGTCAGTGCATGTGGTCTACTTTTTGATCGGACTTGGATGATAGTTAATCAAAATGGTGTATTTCTGAGTCAGAAAAGAGTGATTAGATTGTGTTTAATTAAACCAAGAGTAGATTTGGAGGAGCAGCAATTAATTTTACATGCAGATGGTAAGATTGTTAGGATTTCATTCATTTGAGCATTAAATTCTAATCATGAAGGAAATATGTGAGATAAAATGCAAAAGTGAAAAAAAAGTTCTGAATATTTATTTGAAAGTTATGTTATTTAGTATTGGAAAAGGTAATCAGCATTAGATTCAAATAGTTAGATTTCCTCTTCTATATTCTATTCACAATATTTTTTTAGCTTTTCTATTGACAAAGTCAAATATAGCTCTTCATATTATTGATTGACTATTGTTATCAACATGCATAGACAGCAACTTTTGGCCTTCCTCTTGATTTGACCATTTCGTAAAAATACCTCAAATTTTAGTCATACGGTGGGTGGAGTAGCCGAGCCACGGTTCATAACAATAAACCGGACAACGCAGGTGCCTGTGTTTACATGTCTCGCGCTATGTTACCATGTTGTTGACGCCAACAAAATTGAGTAAAACAACCATCGTTTCTTCGAGAATGCAAGAAATTATCTGAATTGTGTGCAGTCTTGACTTGTATGCAAATTTACAAGCCCAAATCTGGCCGGTAATGTGAGAGCGCAGTCTGAAAACGGGGACTTTATGTGTTGACCTCTGTGCGTCTGTGTGTCCGTCCGTCCGGACCTGTATCTTAGAAATACCTGGACCAATCACAATCAAACTTTACACATACATTATACATGATATTATACATATGCACATCAGTTTGTTACACGATCTGATTCAAGATGGCCGAATGGCGGCCATTTTTGTTCTAAAAAGCATCAAAATCAAGCATTTCTCAGCTGTTTACTGATGGATTTTGTTCAAACTTGGTATATATGTTGGACATTGTAGGACCTTGATGCACATCATTTTCTTTTTCAGATAAGATTCAAAATAGCCGACTGGTGGCCATTTTGTTTTAATAAATGTGATTCTAGTGCCATATGTCTGACTTGCTGTGACTGATTATGTTCAAATTTCAAATATTCATTATACATCATGTCATAGATATACAGATATATTGGTTTGACGATCCTATTAAAAATGGCCAAATGGTGGCCATTTTTGTCCCCGTTCACGCGCCATTTTCCGTCTCCAACATTTTCTCAGAAATTCTACAGCAGGTATCAGTGAAACTTGGCAGGTTGATGAATAAGTGTCTTCCGAGTATGCACGTAATTTTTTTTCCAGATCTGAAAATCCCAAATGGGTCTTTTTCATGATTTTCATCAAAAATTACCTCTCCCGACAACATTCACAGAACGTTTGCGCATGCTCAGAATAAATTAATTACTGTGAAATACTTTATTTTCGCTTGCAACATTTTTTTGCTATTTTCGCTGAAGGAATGTTTTAGTTAAAATAAAATCCAGCGAATATACCCTTTTTCCTATATTTTACAGTCCACTTGTCAAAAATCAATGAAAATAAATTCAATACAAAACACCCAGAAAAGGTCTTTTCAGCGAATGATAATTCCAGCTGAAATAAAATATTTTTCAGTAAATTAGATCTATGAGTAATGCTGCTGTTATTACGGCATGTGATTTCTCCATTGCGTGCAATTTATTATAGTACTGTTTATACATGTATTCTGTATGGCTCAGTGGTCTCATTCACTAGTTACAAGAAGAACTAGTAACCTTATTTGATTTCAAGAACTTCAAGAAGGCGACATAAGAGACGTGTTTGCAAAGGTAAGTTCTCCAGTTTCAGCAAAATTAAATGTATATTGGGCTACAATTGGTGTACATTCCGTGATGTACGAATGTGAATATTATGATGATTGCCAGCTTTATATTCTTGTGAAAAGCCAAAAAAGCAAACAATTGTCTCCAATCTACGAAACTAGTTCGTAAATTGTATACCCTGTCAAATTATTGTACACGAACGATCAATTCATGGGGACATAGTTTTCAAGTAAATTGTTACCCATTCTTTTGATTGTGTCGCGATTTCCGAAATATCCACAACTCAAGGGGGGAGAAGAATATCCCTGTGTTGATCAACTTATTCATTATAAAATAGTAGGTTGCCTATGATTATATTCGTATTTTTTATGTTGTGAGCATTAAACTGTTGTTGCCGATCTCGCACGATTCAACATGGCCGATGTACAGTGACAACACGTGTATGGACGGTCGGTCGAGTAGTCTGCAACGGACTAGAAATCGCCCAGCGTTTATTTCATCATTTTTTTTTTAGTTTTTGACTCCCATGTGCGAAGCACAAAATGGGAGTCTTTGCAGTTAGTGTGTCTGTATGTGTGTGTGTATGTGTGTATGTGTGTGTGTGTGTGTATGTGTGTCTGACTGTTCCACTGCTATCTCAAGAACCATACATCGGTTTTTGATGAAACTTGGTGCATAGATGCTCTGGGCCAATGCGCAGATTTGATTAGGTTTTGGTAAAAATCCATGCTCGTTAATTACCTAATTTGCATGATAATTAGCTAATTTTTAGCTGTTCTATGACTGTTCCACTGATATCTAAAGAACCACTCATTGGATTTTGATGAAACTTGGTACATAGATGCTCTGAACATATGCGCAGATTTGATTAATTTTTGGTAAAAATCCGTGCATATTAATTACCTAATTTGCATAATGATTAGTCAATTTTCGGTTTTTCCACTGATATCTCAAGTACTAATCATCACATTTCAATGAAACTTGGTACATAGATGTCATATGACACTGCACAGACCTGATAGTTTTTATGGTAATATCAGTACATATTAATTACCTAATTTGCATAATTAATTAATTTTCAGCATTTGATATAAGTAGTTAGCATTACATTTCAATGAAACTTGGTACTTACATACTCAAGGACTATGCAGAGATTGATTGTTTTCGATAAATATTTGTGCATATTAATCACCTAATTTGCATAATTAGTTAATTTTCAGCTTTTCCAC